TGCCTCAGTTGGACGATCCCCTGCTGGTATACTAAAGGCTAAAAATAGGTTCTGCAACTTGATTACGTGGCCATCTCATGGCCACGTGTCTCACTTCTGCCGGCCAAACTACCTCCCATGCGCATTTGTCGAGACCCTGGCACCACATCATTAGGTTGGATGTGGAAAGCGAATGTTTCGGCGCTCTAACCGAATAAATGCTCGGATCACACTATCCTAAAAGTGTGTATACATGAGGTTGGGAAGCGCTTGCGAATCCAAATTCCCATTGAAATTCCTTCTATGAATTTGAGAGTTCAAATGAACACGGCCTCTGCCACGGCCGTCGGAAACGGGATTGGTTAACTCTTAATGACTCAGTTGCATCCGACCTCCGATCTTAGTCAGCTTTTGTTTGGGACGCGATAGGCTCCTTTAATGATCCCAGGTGATTAACGAAACAATTACAAATAAGTAAATGACTTCCAGATCTCTCAGAATAAGCATACAACGAAGCTGGAAATTATTTATTTTCGTAGAAAACTATGGGGACAATATATATTCTTAAATACCGAAGTTCTGGAGTTGGCAAAATCCTGCGGCAATTAAATCTAAGTAAATCTCAAGTCAACATAACATCTGAACCATTTGTTCAAACAAGCTGAACTTTTTAGGGTTTATTTGTTTCGAGAAACCCCAATAGAAACATTTCAGAGTGTTTGGATATCAATTAGGATAATTCAGAGGATTCGGAAAGAGTTGGATGAGTCTAATGGTGATTACAAAGGAGTTTGGAGCGATCACTAGTGATGGCAACATTATGCCTCCGTTCATCTTTCCACAGGTCCCCATACTCAACACAGAGGCCTATATCAAGTACCTTGGGGAGGTAGTGCTGCCTGGGCTCAAGAGGCTGGCTGCAGGAAGACCCTATGTCTGGCAACAGGACTCTGCGCCATGCTAGACAATCGGAAGAATCCAGTCATGGCTGTCAGATTGTTTCTGTGACCACAAAACCCCTTACATCTGGCTACCTTACTCCCCAGACTTCACCCTCCTTGATTATTATGTGTGGGGTGCAGTTGAACAAGAGACCAACTCCTTGTAACAGCAAAGATGAAGGCAAGGATTATGAAAGCATTCACCAACTTAAACAAGGCGAGCGTCTGGAAGAGTTGCAGAAGATTCCGAGGCCGTGGTTGAAACCAATGGGGATTTTCTTGAATAAATTTACTATTAATATTCCAAGATGAGATGTCAGAGTTATTTTCATATATGCGTAATTTAGACGACAATTTATCCATCGCACCTAATATATATATATATATATATATATATATATATATATATATATATATATATATATATTATGATGAAATTATTTTGTTATTCTGTATATTTATAGGCAAAAAGTGGTAAATATCAGATAGAAAGTATGTAAATGTAAAATTGGACACTGAGCACAACACCTGTTTCTTGCTTGAGCTCAACCTTAGGCTATATGTGTTGTGTTTTGGTTTGACTGTTTATATATGCTGGTCAATGGTGCATTATGGGTAATAAAGTCTATTGTATTATCCTAAGGCTCATTCGCTAGGTGGTAACACTTATGTTTCAAATTATTCTATAGGCTATTGAGTAAGAATAATTTTTGTTTCAAACGTGGTTATTTGTAAAGTTATTTGCATATAATCAGTCGAGTAATACACATGGCTTAAGATTGCTTTCATGCATAAAAACACACTGTTGACCTCAGTGCCCACTTTTTTCACATATATAATATGAAAAATTGAACAATGACTGGGATGTTTTTTTTATTTATTATATTAGAGTTTTTGTTATATTATTATTTAACCTTTAATTATTAAAATACATATTTGTTTATTTTTAAGATAAGTCGAGGTATACATCGATTGTTTCATTTTTTAAAGTGTTTTAGCAAATTTAATTTATTAAAAATGTGTATTATCAATAAGAATTATGATATTAAGAATATTTTTTGTTAAATTGCTTATGCGTTGGCACGGATAATTCTATTCATAATATTGAAGCGTAGCATTTTTCATTTTTATGAAAGAGGACGTAATTTTTTAAATTGTTGAAAAGGCATTTCGAATCGTAATGTTTGTTTTGTTTTCTTTGATTATTGGTTCGGTATCATCGACTTCTTTCCCTATCATTTATCATTCAAAAAATTTTTAACATAATTTGTCGATAATTTTATTTTTTTTATCCTTCGCGTATTTATTGATTGTAGTAACGTAACATTTTTTTATGGACGGGGACGTATTTCGAGTCGTAAAGTTATTTTGTTTTATTTACTTTTTATTATTGGTTTCTTCTATTATTTATCTTTCAAATATTCCTAACAACAGCAATAATAGAAAATGTTAATATATATATATATATATATATATATATATATATATATATATATATATATATATAAATTTTTTTAAGTTACGAAGAACTTGGTAAACCGAATGGGTAATTCCATGGAGGATGAAATCCTGAGAGCTCAATGTGAATACAGAGCTAATATTTAATGAAAAACAGACCACTTTAAGGTACTATTACAATAATTTATTTCACCAAAATCCTTTTTAAAGGACTCCGGATCAACTGTCGTCTGTCTCCTCTCTCCTTTCCATTTTTCCTTTTCTTTTCCCCCCACTACCCTTCCATTCTTATATATCATTTCCGTTAAGTTAACCATCTAAATAGGTCACGGTTCGGTCACTCCTCCTACCCCAATATAAAGCATGCTTAAGAGAAATATGAAATTAACCCCTCTCTATACTCTACCTTGTCTCGTTAACTACAACTATCACCATCCGCGTTAAATTACAAAAATTACACTACCCATCAATTTCTAATCCCATTTTTCCTTTCATTTCATTGTTGGAATTGTTACCTGATGATCCGGAGTCCTTTAAAAAAGATTTTGGTGAAATAAATTATTGTAATGGTACCTTAAAGTTGTCTGTTTTTCATTAAATAAATAAATAAATATATATATATGTGTGTGTGTGTGTGTGTGTGTGTGTGTGTGTGTGTGTGTGTGTGTGTGTGTGTGTGTGTAATGTACATAAATATAAATATATATATAAGTGTATAATATGTATGTATATAAATATATATATATGGAAAAATATATGTATAATATGTATGTATATAAATATATATATATGTATATTTACATATATAAGTATATATATATATATATATATATATATATATATATATATATATATATATTTATAATATGTATGTATATAAATATGAATGCCCCTTAAGGAACTGTGTTTCTGATCAAACTGAACTCGTAAATAATTCCATCGGACACACAACCACATGCCTATCCAGATGCCTTACGTTACACTTATCTGACCAGAGCTCCATTAGAACCCATTTAAGGACACACAAATCTACCAAACTCCATTCGAAACATAGTAGTAGAATACACAAACATAATAACTTCAGCCACTTGTAAAAAATATTAAAAATAATGGAAGCCCTAATAATAAAAAAGAAAAAGCCAACTCTTAACAATATTAACTACCAACTAGGCCACAATGTGCTAACCGTATATAACACACTAACAGCATACGTATAACGCACACACTCAATTCAACTAAAAAAATAAAATCATCCTTGATAATGTTCAAAAAGAAAGCTCTTGTGCGAACACAAGAAAAATTAAATAAAAAGGTTAACCGTAGTACCTTTTCTGTCGTTTTTAATGAAACATGCATTAATGAAGGATTGCTGCCTAAATACACAAATATAAATACAAATCTCTCTCTCTCTCTCTCTCTCTCTATATATATATATATATATATATATATATATATATATGTATAATATGTATGTATATAAATATATATAAATATATATAATATGCATGTATATAAATATAAATATAAAGATATATATATATATATATATATATGTGTGCAGTTTTTATATATGTTATTTATTCATTATATATGCGCGGTACATATTAGAAAGTGCTCAATAAAAGTGATAGAGCTAACATATTTAGTTGCAGTAATGTGAGTTTATGACCCTGCGTTTCATGCACTTTACGATTGTTAGACAAACTTGACGATAGCAAAGGGCGTGAAACCCAAGGTCAGACAAACTCTGACGATCGCAAAGACCATGAAACTCAGTCACAAACTCACATCAACGCAACTATATATATATATATATATATATATATATATATATATATATATCCTTTTTTTAATATGAATACAATTATTATTATTTTATTTTAATTTGATAAATTATTTTTTTTTATTTTGTATCTATTTTAATAGTAGAAATATTGATTTAACCGTTGTCTTTTAACTTGGAAAAAATTTTATGGTCATGTATGTTGGCTTGGGAAAGGGGTGTTTATTTTAGGAATGGAGATAAAAAAACGGTGCGCAGTTTAATATTTTGACAAGACTCGATAATAGCACTCTTAAGAACATTCCACCTAAGTAATTTATTTTCTCTTTGAATAAATGTGACAACCTTTAAATCGAAGCTGTGGTTGAACTTATTTCTATGAATAATGCATTTGATAAATTGTTATATATAAGATCCTTTTTGTGTTCATAAATACGTTTTTGTAAAGTTCTCCGCTGTATTGTGAGGAACAGTTTTAATAGTTTATATATATATGTATGCATTGATAGATTATACATCGATAAATACATAACTTAGGTAGATTTGGATAATTAAACTTTTTAAAAACATACGTTGTTGTAAATGTATATTTAATCTTTATTAATGGTAATATAGGTCAATGTTACCGTTTATGTCTATTGTGTTGTTTCAGCTTCAAATTCTTGAATACTCATAAATTTTATTCTCTTATTCTTTTTTTAAGCAAGTCATTTCTGTAGTATTTGCTTCGCCTCTTGTGAAAATGACCGGCAACTCACTTGAAGGTGGACAACAATCCCAAAATATATATTTGCAATGCATTTACCACTAAAAAAAACAAATTACCTCTCTTTTTATTTTTAACGAGAACTCAGTAGCATGCTGTGTAAAATAAAAAAGAAAGGGAGGCGATTGGTATAAAAGCAGAAAGAGAGAGAGAGGGGGAGAGGGAGGGAGTGAAAAGAAAAAAGAGGTGGAGAGTGAGTTAAAAAGAAAGAGAAGAGAAATAGAGAGAGTGAGAAAAAGAGGATACGTGAGAGAAATATAATTTGGAAAAAGGTAAAAGAAACATAGAGAGGAAGCAGAGAGAGAGAGAGAGAGAGAGAGAGAGAGAGAGAGAGAGAGGGGGGAGTGAGAGAGAGAAGAAAGAAAGTCAAAAAGAAAGAAACAATAAGAGAAGTAGAGAGAAAGCGGGTACGTGGGAGAAGAATTTGTTTAGATTGAAAAAAAAAGTACAAAAACCCGAGAAAGGGAGAGAGGGAGAGGAAGACCAGAGAAATAGATAGAGTGAGACGGAATTTGTTTAGACTGAAAAAAAAAAGATACATAAACTAGAGAGAGTGCAAGATAGAGAGAGATAGAGATACATATAGAGGGATAAAGAAAATCAAAAAGAAAGAAAAAAATAAAATTAGAGGGGGAAAAAGATATGTGAGAGAAGAATAATTTGTTTAGATTGAAAAATGTAAAATCCATAAAAAGAGAGAGATAGACGACAAACAGAGAGAGTGTGTCAAAAAGAAAGAAAAAGATGAGAGAAATACAGAGAGAGTGAAAGAGGATAAGTGAGAGAAGAATAATTTGTTTAGACTGAAGAAAGGTGATGGAGAAAAATATTGTCAAAAATGATGAATAGACCAAAAATATTGAGAGAGAAAGACAAAGAAAAGGAAAATCAGTGAGAGAAAGAGAGGGAAAGAGAGAACTAAGAGCGATACAATTTTCTTCGCACACCAACGTGTTAGTAATTGTAAATCTATCCTTGTAAAGAAATTAAATTATGCCTCTTTTCACGTTGTTACGGTTTTCATACTGGGTCGGACAAGCCGGGGGCGTGTTTCTGGATTTTATTTCAGCCCTTGAATGATCTTTCTTGGTCAGAAAGTTTTCTCACGAACCCATAAACAATGTTTAATGTTACTCATCAAATAGCTTCACATTCTCTATTTTAATGGATCTTTATATATATTATATAGCATAACATGCATACATACCCAACAAAAGGCAAAGTATTTTACTGACAACACACTTCGCCTTCGTTTGTGTTATATAGGAATAAAGTATCGCTACCGACACTTGAGTTTGAACATAGATCGCCACTGAGCAAACATAGGCGATCACATTATTGAATTAACTATACCATGTGACCATAGACGAGACGCTAGGAGGTTACGTGACGTCTAATTGATCACTATTTCTACTCTATCCTCTATTACTATACGGGCCGCTATTCTGTACTCTATTTACTATACTATTCCTCTATTCCGATCACTATACGGATTACTGTTCGAGCGAGTATCATCGAGCAAGTACTATTAGTGCGAGTGATATTCGAAGGCGTCTGACACCAGCATTGTTCAATGGCGTTACTATAGTTGTATCTGCGATTACAAAGTCTCTACTACAACGAGCATTACGAATGTGTCAGACGAGTATTCGTTGGCATCACAAAAGTTTTGATAGTAAGGTAGGCATCTTTAGGTCAGACAATTGTGTTTTTTATATATTAAAACTGTTACTTGTTTGCTATCTTCCGGTCGGAACGAAAGAAACACCAATCTCGGTTGAAGGGCCAACGATACCATTCAAAAGAAGCTTTTTAAGACCTTTAAGGAATTAGGCTGCAAAGTTAGGGTTGAGGTTGTCAAGAAAACTGTCCAATATTTGGGTGTCGAATTCGACCTCATCGCTGATACTGTTTCACCTTATATGAAACCGAATACTGTCCTCAAATATGTAAACACCAGGTCAAACCATGCGAGTGTTATTAAGCACATCAACGGGGGGGGGGGTAAATGTAGGATCTCAAGAAATTCGTCCACAAGGTAGATTTTTAATTATAAGAAAAAAGAATATGAAAATGTTTTGAGAGAGGAGGGGCATATTACCAACTTGGTTTTCACACCTCAGACCCAGTGTGAATGTAAAATCAGGAGCAGAGATACAATTTGGGTTACGCCCACCCAACATTTAACTTGCAGTTGAAAACTAAAATTGGAAAGATATTTTTTAAGTTATTGGATAAACATTTTCCTAAAAAACTCTTTATTAGCTAAAGTGTTTAATAGGAATACAGTGAAACTGAGTTAGAGTTGCACTGGTAATTTGGAGAATGTAATTAAGAAACATAACGTTAAAATTTTGGAGACGGAAATGGTGGAAGAGAAGAAAAGAAGATATGCAATTGCAAAAATAAAAATAAGTGTCCATTGGATGGGAAGTGCTGCACATAAGGTATCATTTACGTTGCTAAGATATCAATTTACATTTGAGTTGGATAGAAGTAACAGTAAATTCTATGCTAACAGTTTCTTTTCTCGTACAGAGAGACAGACAGAGACAGAGAGAGACAGAGACAGAGAGAAATGGGGGATCTCTTGGGAACATTGGGTATTGTAAGCTGGGTAGAAGTTAAATGCCATGAACCCGGCATTATTGACCCATCTCATGCGGCGGCACAGATCGGCACAGATAATCTCTGATTATGTTGATTAATTCATGGCATGGGATTAAGGCTGACCGTCAGCACAAAGTACGGAATAAGAAATCGAATCTTTCTACCCCATTCTAGACAACGCCAAGGCTTATTGTAAATTGCAAGAAATTATAATTATCCTGGGAGATGTGAATGCCAAAGTAGGCAACGAGTTGTGTTCGTGTGTAAGTCTACGCGCTTGCAGCCATGCGCCCGTCTGTGTGGATATATGTTCGCGCTTTTGCAGCCGTCTGAGCGGATGTGCGTAGGTGTAGAGTGTCGTGATCGTTTGTCATTTTCTTTGTATTTTTTTTTCACTTTACACTCGCCCCTTGTCCTTTTCTCTTTTTTCTTTTTCCTCTTTTTTTTCAATTGTGGTCATTTGTAGCCAATTATTATGATCTCTAGACGTACCACCGTTTTTAATTTTGGGGCATTCTAGTCTTTTGTGTTAGGAAAGTTGTGTTTCGTTTTTACAATTTTTACAAAAATAATTGATATTAATGCTTAAATAATAAATATTTTAAATTTTATATATATATATATATATATATATATATATATATATATATATATATATGTATATATGAGTTAGAAAACTTGGTAATCCGTATGAGTAGTCCCAAGAAGGATGAAATCCTGAGAGCTCAATCTAAATTAAGAACTAATAATTTTTTCTTTTTTTTCTCTCTCTTCTCTCCTTCCATTTCAACGTATCATTTCCGTTAAGTTAACCGATTAAATAGGTCAATGTCTGGTCCCTCCTTCCTCAATAGTAAGTATGATAGAAAGAAGTATTAAAATAAACCCTCTCTAAACTCGACCATGTCTCTCAAACCACTCCTCACTACCCTCTCTGTTAATTTACATAAACTTAATACTACCCGTCAAAAGTGTAAATTTTCATTTCATTTTTCGTTTCACCATTTGGAATGATGTCTGATGATCCAGCGTCCGTTAAAAGGTCTCTGGTGAAATAAACTATTACAATAGAGCCTTAAAGTGGTTTGTTTTTCTTTAATATATATATATATATATATATACATGATATTAATGATATTAATAAATGATAAATCTCTCTCTCTCTCTCTCTCTCTATATTCATCTATCTCTATATATATAGAGAGAGAGAGATAGATAGATAGAGATAGATATAGATGTACACATAAGTACATGCACACATATTTATATATCTTCACTAGGCTATTATTTAGTTTTCTTATTTGGTTTGGTGGTATCTTAAGTATTAATTGTAAGAGGTTAGGTTTATGATAAATTTTTATTTATTTTGAATTTATGTGCATATGACCGTATTTATACGCTTGTGCATATGCACACACGCACATTCAGGTATGCACGTTTATAGCTATACACCCGTGCACATATATACACATATAAACGCGCGTACTCAGGCACATGTACACTTATGTCTGTGCTGTGTCATTAATAAATTAGTGCTTAAATGGTAAAGTTATTTTTTTCTATTTTTAGGGTATTAATTATGGTTGGTTGGGTTGAATTAATATTTTCTTTGTTGTTTGAATATGCATATATAGTATATATTCCCGCTCACTCACGCACGCACCTACACGCACCTGTACGCACGCGCATATATATAATTGATAAATAGTGTATATGTATTAAATTAAATATTTGCTTATATCCTATGTTATCGTTCATCTAATGTTTAATTTTTATTTAATGGTTTATTTGTTAGTTTTATATATTGAGGTATTAATTAGTGGCGGGGTAGGTTTGTTCGTTTGTATTTGTTTGTGTGTCTGTGTATATATATGTACATGCACACACACGCGTGTAGGTATGTTTAATATTTGTTCGTTTATTTATTTATTAATAATTATTTTTTTTCAGTTTTCATTTATTTATTTATTCCTTTAAAGTTTATATTACATTTATTTTATTTGTTTATTTTTAAGTACTGCTTAGGTAGCAAAGTAAGTATTTACTTATATGCCTACATCTATAAATTATTTCAGTTTTCTCATTTAAGAGTTTATTTTGGTTTCTAAAACTAATTATTGCTATTTTTTCCTCTAAGCATAATTTACAATTTTTACTGTTTATATTGGATGGGGCTGTTCTTTTTATAATTTAACATTTGATTTTGGCAGGAATATTGTTTTCTTTTTGGCTCCATGTATATTTTGATAAGCTTGTATTGTTTGTTTTTCTTTTGGGGACATTTTGTAGTTATAATATCTTTCTTTTAAGGGTTTTTTTTCTATGGTGCCTATGTAAATTTTTTCGTCTGTGCTAATTTTATTACTTACGATAGCTTTATGTATTATGTTATTGGTTAAATATTAATTATTAAGTGGGCAATTTTCTTTCTTTCTGCAGTTACATTTGATGATGTTATTTTGCTGGGTGTTATTATTGTTGTAATTGTTATTGTATTTTTTTTTATTGCGCTTAGTTATTATTTTCTTTAAGTTATCCAAGTATTTTCGTTTTTGCATTCTAGTTTGTGTGAATATCCGCTGTTTTTTTAGGGTTCATTCATATATTTTTGCGTTTTCGTTGAATATTTTTAGGCAACTTATATTTTATATTTATCTATTTATAGATATGGGCGTTTGTTTCAATATGTCAGGGGGTGGTTGGAATTTTTGTTAATGTGTATTGGGTTGTTGTTTGGTTTCCTGTATGTTTTTTTATTTCTCAAATAGTGAAATAAATGTCAACCGGCCTAGACCGAGGAGGACTTCTATAGTAGCACTTCTCGATCTAGGCCGGTTGATATTAATTTTATCGTTTAAGAAAATAAAAAGGGATATCAATTCAAACAAGTTTACCCACAAAAACAACGTTGGCAGTATTGAAAATATATATAGAGAGAGACAGAGAGATGTGGCACTTTACATATATATATATTGTCACGTAGCCACGATTTCATTAACCATATAGGCGTTAGGCTAAAGTAACATCTTAAATAAAGAGAAAACTAGTTAGATATAAAAGAAAAATAAATAAATAAATAAAAACAGAAATTTAATCCAATGCTTCCGACTCGCGAGCGAATATATTCTATGATCAGCCATATCCTTCCTTTCTCTTTACAAATTCTTTCTCTCCTTATCCTCTCTTCCACCCACAAGCCAAGGGCCCGTGAACTTCGAAGTGACCCGACGCGAGAATGACCTGGTTCCAAGATCTCGGGTTTGACTATGAGTGAATTCCAGGCACCATCAGGGTCTCCTGCTGCGATTCACGTGATCGGAACGTACTGAGCATGTGTTGAACTTTTGGCCATCACACAGGCGCTGCGTGATTTGCGCCCTATCCTCCTGGGTACCCGGTCAAGGACGAAGGGAACCCACGTGACTGTCTTTGGGGAAAGCGAAACCAAAAAGGATTTTTCAGTTTCCTCTGACCAGCGGCAGTTGAACGTCGCTGGGCAAAAATCGTCAGACCGCCCACTGAGATGAGGAAGACAGCAAAGTCTGTCGACTAGTGATGGAAGGACTGCTAGGGAACTGGTCGACCCAACCAAATGCCTGTATGAAATGCTGTGGACCCTCGAACACTTGCGAAAAGAAGAAGAATCCAGGAACATTGTCGGCCGGCCAAGATACTGTTTTATCATCAGAACTCTCGCTTCGGCGAATCAAAACTTTATGTGAAGATATCATCCCGACTGCAAGATAAGTTGATTCGTTTCGCTTGATCTGTTTTCATATATGTATGTATTCGCTCGCGCCTTCTATTCTTTAATGATGTCCTCCCCCTTTGTTAAATGAATGTTCCTTTTTTTTCTTTCTTTCTTTATTTCGTTATATATATTTATAAATAAATGATTTATTTTGAAATCCATCGTCTTGTGTCTGTTCTTCGTTGATTCCCTTGTGTCGCTTCCATTTCTGAGTGAAGACCGAGAAAAGAAACCACGTTTTCCTTCTTTTTATTAGAACCCGTGGTTCATCTATATGCTACCAGTTCGTAAGATATAAAATTGGGGGCTCGTCCGGGATCTTTTCTCTCTGTTTTTTCACTCAGTAAGAATCGCACAGCTTCAGGGTATCGGCGAACTACAGGCCAAGATGTCGGTTATAGATAGTTTTCTCGCATCACCCTCTATGGAAAAATTATGTAAGCTTAAGAAGGATGATATAGTTGAAATAGGGAATGAATTAGAACTAGAGGTACCGAAGTCTATGAGGAAAACTCAGCTAGTTAGGATAGTCTCTGAACATATGGTAGATAACGACGTTTTCGACGTAGAAGAATTAAGTAAATTATCACTAGACACGTCGGAACTTTCGCAGGCACAACTCGAACTCGAGAAAGCGAAAATTGAGGCCGAGGCTAAGGTCAGAGCCGAAGCTGAAAGAGCAAAGGCTTAAATCGCAAAAGCTAGGATCGAGCAAGAAACTCGATTTCGGGAGTTAGACGAGAAGCGGGAACTTCACGAAGCTAGAAGTAGTGAGTTCGACTTAGCGAAGCAGGTCCGACTCGTACCGCAGTTTAACGAGGCTGACGTCGACAAGTACTTTCAGCATTTCGAAAAGGTCGCCTCAAACCTAGCATGGCCCATAGAAACGTGGCCAATTTTACTGCAGACCGCATTAAAAGGCAAAGCCCAAGAAGCGTATGCCGCGCTCTCAGTAGCAGATTGCGCTGAATATAGCATTGTTAAATCAGTCATTTTAAAGTCGTATGAGCTAGTGCCGGAGGCATACCGGCAAAAATTTAGAGCCTGCCGAAAGGGAGACAAACAGACTTATGTATAATTCTCTATCAAAAAGAAACCTATTTCGATAGATGGAGTTTATCGAAAAACATCGAGGCAGATCACGATAGGCTAAGGCAAATGATCCTGATAGAGGAGTTCAAAGAATGTGTCCCTGATAATTTAAAAACCTACCTCGATGAAAAAAGGGTAGATACTTTATATGAGATGGCCACCCTCGCTGACGAATACGCATTAACGCATAAGCGGGGAAAACTCAGTCA